TGCATAATGAACATTTGTATACCTAACTCTGAATTGTACCCTACATCTTTAAAATAAAAAAAAAATAAATAAAATAGAGTGACAACAATAATAACAAAGAAAGGAGAGCCGGACTATGCCACTTTATGTTGTCCTGTTGGACTGATCTGGCTTAGTTTCTCTGCATTTGACAATGTAATAAACTTGACTGCAATTCAATGCAATACTTATGCTAGTCTCTAACACTTCAAGGCCACAACTGTCATTGCTCATTGTTCAAGCACTCCAGCATTTTTATCCTTTTGACAGGGATCTTGCAACAACAACCAAATATTTGGTAGCACAAGGAATGAAAAGCATTTATGTATTAATCAGCATTCCCTAAACAACCTTATGCTTTTATGAGCAATGCACTATAAATGACCTCTTCGTTCATTTCTATATGTCCTGGTCCTATTTATTTTTTCTTGCCTAATTCAAAGGTTTATTTGACTAGCAAAAGGAACAGCGGGTGCATGCTGGGTAAAGTGTAGAGTCATCAGTTCAAAGTCAGATATTTCAAGAAGTGTCTACATACACACTTACGAATGAGATCTTCTCCCTCTCGGCTCCCCATCACAACATCTGCATCCTAGAAGGAGTCCGAACAATTGTAGCAGTGTGGCAGGCATGTGTGAGGAGATCTCTCCTTCCACACTCTACTGCAGTTCGCAGAGGACAGCAGTGAAATGCCATCTGTATTTATAGCCGGCATTGATATGTTCACACTATTAGTGCCTAATACCTGCCAGACCATCATAAGAAGGAGTATCACAAAAATCCCTTTGAATTCCAGGTAGCTACCACACAGGTGAGAAGAGTATATGCTTGCTATAATTATAGTCACTTTGTAGAGACATGACCTTCTCAGGCTGCCTGAATCACAATAGTAGTTATCGTCAGTCCATAGTAATGGTAAAGTCAAAACTTATCACTTTCTACGGAGAATGCATACCAGAGCACAAATGGCATAAGATTCACACTGGGACAATTTCATGACGTCACAATCTTCTTGGGTTGCCTAGATTGGGCAAGTGACCCACAATGGCCATGTAGTCACCTGGAGAATCCAGGTCCAGTATTCTTCCCTTTTCAGCACTCACAGATTTTCCATCCCTGCATAACCCAGGCTTTTCTGATGCTGAGGTGGGTTTGGCTGGAGGCAAGGGCTTCCTCTGCTGCAGCATAGAGTATTGGGAGTAGGCAGTGGCACAATTCCTGTGGTGTAAGCAGCTGCTGGACTCTCTAATGCTTCGATAAATTGTGCATTGGTGTAATGTCAGACTGTAGATTGGGGACTCTGTGCACTTGTACACAGGTGAACAAGTTGGTGGATGACCATGAAGGCTAGCATTTATTTGGTATCAATCAATATACTTACTTGATGAAAAGGACAAGATTGGTTGTATACATGGAGTCTGTAAGCCAGAGACTTTATTTGAAAAGTGTTTACAGTTATATATAATTTACACAATGACTATCAATTAGGTATAAATGTTTGTTGAACTCATGCATAAATAAGCAGTCATGAATGACAGCTCCCTAAAGCTGCCATGAGGGACTTTCATATCTTTTCTCTGTTTATAAAGTTAATGCCTGGATTTCCTGCACACTCCTCCTTAGTATGTAACTAGAGGAAAATCCATTACTGAACTGGACTTGAGAAGAAGGGAGCTCATCAGGATAATCCTGCAATCCCCCACCCACTTTCTTTTCCCCAGAGACAGTGAGAAATTGTCCTCTGAAGTGGGAGGTGCTTGCAGGAGCTCCAGTGAGACCTAGTAACTGAGCCTCTCTCTGCAAGATGCTGGATAACCCTGAGATTTGCAGGTGGGAGTTGCTCGAGAAAAATAGATTTCTAGCATCTTCTAACTTCCAGGCTTAGTCCAATGCACTTGGGATGCACAGACAAGACCTCTGCTCCATAAGATCTCACCATGTGATGAAAGGAGACAAGACAAATCATTCAGGTACAAGTGCCCTACGTCATGTAATAGACAAATGTAATAGAGGAATGCTCATTCAAGTGAGTTCAGTTAGGGCTTCAGGAGCTGATCATAAGCCTCCAGAAGCTCTACATTTACTTGCAGCCAACACGAAGAATATGTCACTGACATCAAAATAACTTGTTGCCCACGTGAGGGTCAACAGTCTTGGATTCCATAACCAGGTGAAAATTATCTACTGTATTCCTCATGATGGACAAAATCCTCAGCCAAAGCTGTACAGTTGAAGATATCTCAGACTCCCAGGACTGACTTTCTTAATAACTTGGTGTGAACTGATGACACCAAAGTGCCTTACCAGGTGCACCAGCTGCAAGTACTGTCTTCCTTCCTCGTCCCACCTGTGGGAATCCCTCACATACAGCCAAGTCCTACTGGGGAACTTTGGAAATCCAGGGTGTATGCATAGGGACAAACTCAGCAGAGTGCTGGATCTGGAAGAGGATTAGATCTGAACTCAGGGAGACATAGTTCTGTGTGCATACTGTGATATAAGTGGATCAATATATTTGGCTAGGAAATTTGAAAATTATAGATTTACCATTTCATGGCTACTTTTTTTCCTTTGTCTTCATCTTATTCTAAAAATGTGAGTAATAGTTAGGATCAGGTACATAAGTGGTATACATACAGGTGAAGTTTTGTCGTCTCCCTGGGCCTCACTTCCCCCTGTGTAGAATTGGGGATTTATCCTAAGTGATGTTGTGAACCTCACCCCTCCCCTAGCATGTCCCACTACTGTTGTGGCTACTTTGTACTGTCTTCAAGATACTGAGTTTATTTGCCACCTCGCATCTGAGTGGTAGTCTCCCTGCTTGTGAGCACTGCAGACTTCGTTGTGTTCTCACAACCTCTTATGGTGGCCCCTTCTATCTACTTGAGTTCTCTGTGGAAAGAGAAGTCAATTGCAGAGAAGAGTCCTGAACTCTGCATTGATGCTCTTTTTTAAAATTAATAATCTTGAAAATTGTGGCAAAATATACATTGCATGATTTTACTTCTTTCACTATCTTTTTTTTTTGAGTTAGAGTCTCACTCTGTCGCCCAGACTGGAGTGCAGTGGCCACTCCCAGCCACTGCAGCCTCAACCTGCTGGGCCCCAGCGATCCTTCTGCCTCAACCTTCCAAGTAGCCAGAATTACAGGCATGCGCTACCACGACCGGCTGATTTTTTGATTTATTGTAGAGATGAGGTCTCGGTGCCCAGATGGGTCTCGAACCCACGGGCTCAGGCAATCCACTCACCTCAGCCTCCCAAAGGCGTGAGATTACAGGCTGAGCCACCGAGCCCGGCTTCTTTCACTATCTTAAATGTGTAATTCAGTGACACTAAGAATATTCACAATAAGATACAACCATGACCAATATCTGCTTTAAAATATTTTTATTATATGAAACAGAAATTCTTTACCATGAAACAATGATCACACAATCTCCTCATCCCTAAACCTACATGTCTGTTAACTTTGAATATCTTATAAAAGTTGAACTTAGCAGTATTGTTCTTTTGTGTCTGGCTTATTTCACGTAGCACTTGTTCTCAATCTTCATCCTTGTTTTGTCATGTATCAGAATTCTGTAGCAACTCTAAGTGGTTATATACATACTGTAATTGACACTGTCATGGAAGAAGTCAAAGGTTTTCACTCCTGTTTCCCATGGCGATTGCCCAGGACACTAACTGACATCGAATGAGAACAATTTGCATAAGACAGCATGTGCTGAGAGTTATAAATTAAGGAATCTGGAAGCTAAAAACAGATGGTTTCCAAACTAATTTCCATTTGGAAACCAACACTGAGGTTGCCAATGGCCAAACTGGCACTGGTGGGACATATTTTTTGACTCTACTCTGGTCCATGGTCCAGGATAATCAGTTCTCATGAAGAAGGAACCATAATTTCTTTATTAGAAATTAAGGCCAACTTGTCCCCATACCATGGACACATGACAGCAGAGGACTTTTCATAAAATCTGTTTCATAGACTGCTTTTTATGAAGGTAAAGAGTCTGCATTTAAGAACATTATTTTTCCCAATCCCAGAAAACTCAGTGAAATTTAGAGGTAGCAGAACTCATGAATTCAGAACTGAGATTCCCACTTTCAGCAATGTCCCCATTCTCAGGATGAAGCTTGCTTTTCGGGGAAACTCAGTCTGAGACATAAATAAGGCATCTGCCTTTTCGGTACTGTCAGGTAGGAAACAATTCTAAAGAAGAGTTTTATGGATCTGAACAGACATTCTTGACATTGCAATGAAAACTGCTGAGAAAGAGTTTACAATAAGAAAGATTTGGAGGAAGATAACATGAGAAATTTATTGGTGACTTCAAAAAGGATTCAAACATTGTACTTTCAGACTAATGCTTTCTCTGGGTAAAACTAGAAAAACCAAGTTAAAAATAAATCTATTTGAAGACATTTTGGAAACCCTGAAGCATTTCAGAGGCACAAGGCCCAGAAAAATGCATCTAATTGCCAAGGGTGGCAAGGCAGTGTTGACTCTCAAGGTCACATGTTCCGAACAGGGAAGAAGCTCTTCCTCACTACCCCAGGTTGCTTCTTGACCTCTCCAGGGATTCCTGAGGAAGGCTGCCTCCACATCCATCCACCTCAGCAGTGTCCTGCAGAGCCCTCTGGAGAACCAGCTTGAGGGACTTCCTATTTTGACGCGGCTTAGAGGAACCCACAAAGAAGTAAATGATGGGGTTGGCGCTGCTGTTAACACAGGACAGGACATCTGAAACCTCAAAAAAACGACAAGTGAATGCATCAAACTTCTGAATCCAGAATACTAAAAACCATTCGATGCCTACAGGCAGGCCACAAAGGAGGAAGACCAGCACTGCCAGCAGGATGGTCACATACAGCCTGGTCAGCTTCATCTTCCGGAGGCTACAGAGAATCCGGAGCAACAGTGCCAGGCTGGACCCAGAAAGAACCACAAATAAAAACAATAGCCAAGAGCCAGAGAGGAAATCAATCGTCTGACACCAACTATGGTCATATATCCCCCCAAATGAAAAGGCACAATAGTACACT